GGCACTCAAACCCCTATTCCTACTAGGTAACCTCTTGAGTTAATAGCCAACAAACATTGGCGAATCAAAAGGTTCAACCGGCCTCCGCCGCCTGGTACCTTTACTACTCAAGCAGGAGTGACGGCGACTGAGTAACTCCAAAGTTAACTCATAGTCACTCTCTCAAACTTAGTATGGAGCCTAAAAGGTATGAGTCGTCCGCCTGTTTTTAGCAAACAGGGGCTCTCAACCACTACTCCTGCTAGGTTAACAACTTATGAGTTAAAAGCCAACAAACATTGGCGAATAAAGGGGAACAACCGGTACCCACCACTTGATACCTCTACTACTCAGTTACTTGGCAACTAGGTAACAATCATGTTTACTTGGTCAAACCACTTTCCTACTTGGTAAATTTTATAAATGACAGGACCGCCTGCCTAAAGGGGATCCAGTCTTTAAAATGGTTCGAATACCAACTGGATAAATGGCCGACTGATCGTCTAGCCTGGAAACAGACAACCAGTCGTCCAGGGGCATAGGCGGCGTGACTAACTATCCTACCTGTCTGCAACTATCGGCTATGTAAAACAGTCGGTATATTGAACAATTGGATATCAGAATATTCAATACTTAAACAAATTTGAAGCAAAACAAAAAATTCATTTAAATGAAGCCGGTCATTAAAGACCGACAAAATATTTAGAGCCCCAGCCCCCTGGCCGAATAAATACAAAACAAACGGCACGAAGGCCGTGGAAAGAATACATAAAGCTTAAGAAGGGGGCAGATCTTCAATATTAGCAGCTGCCGCCTGGTCAGCACTCTTCTTGCTGGACTCGGCTTCAGCTGCATCCTTCTTTGATGCATTACCCCCAAGCGGCACAAGCGGCACTACCGGGTCCTCCTCCTCCAACGCTTCCTCCAACGCCTCTGCCTCAGCAGCCGCCATGATCTCTTGATTATATGTGTTAGAACACTGACGGTACGTTTTTTCCCATGAGGCAAAGTCGGCATTGGGGAAGAGGCGGCCCCAAGTCATGCGCTGGATTTGAGCAGAGTCTTCCATCATCTCCCGGACCAGCTCTTTCTTCTCTTGCTCGGCCTTTTCCGAGAGCTCCTGGGTAAGACTCTTCTCCTGGGTCACCAGGCGTTCCTTTACGTTGGCCAAGGATTTCTCCAAGGCTTCGTATGAGGACATCTTGTGGCGAAGAGGTCTCAGCTCGGCCTTGAGGTTGTTGATGGTCGCCTCCAGCTCGCCATTCCTCTTCTAGGCCGCCTCTAACTGAGCCCGGATAGCGGCGGTAGCCTGCGCCTGATAATAAAGAATATCAATGGTCAGAACTTTATTTTGGGCAATTTGAAACATTGCCTTATCACAGTTAGAGGCGGCCATAGCTTTTGCAGCCTTTACCTCTTTGTTCTTCCGGTCAAGCGGCTTGCGAAGGCCGTTCACCCGGAGGAGGGCCTAAGTAAAAAGGGGAACAGGCGTCAGTTTCCAAACAAAAAGAAAACAGGCGTCCTGGAATTCAAATACTCAAAAATATGCTAAGTATACCTCAGCAAGGACCCCTGCAATCCCGTCTAGGTCAAGGGTGCCGACACCCCTGACCGCCTCCCTTTCAGCTGGAGGAACGGCCTTGATCATAGACTTGGCCACCTCGACCAAGTCAGGCTCCTGAGGGCCGGCTGCATCAAGCATAAACAAACGGATTAGACCTAGTAAAAAAGGGAGCAAGTCTAAAATTTACAAGGACAACTTCATACTTCTAGGCGGCCCAGCTGGAGTTTTAGAAGAAGTGGCCGGCTGTTTCTCAGCCGCCGCATGTTTCCTGGCAGAACCAGGAGAGCTCGCAACAGTCGTCCTCCGGGCCTTTGGGTCCGGCTGTTGTGAAGAAGAAGCTCTTGGAGCGCCCGTCTAAAAAAGAAGAAAAAAGTCAGTATATGCATAAACACAACTCCAAAAAGAGGGTGAAAGGTTCGAAGCCCACCAAGGGTGCCCCCTTCTTGGGGGAGTCGGTTGAAGCTTGCTGCATGATGGAGGCCCGCAACATGGCCGCCGCAGTCTTGGAGGCGGTAATTTTGCTCATGGCGTCCGCTGCAAAAACAAACAGCAAAGTTAATAAAAGTTATAACAAAAATGCACGGAACAACAGAGTATTCGACAGGCCGACTACCTCTTGAGGACCGACTGCTGAGGCCACAGGCGGCCAAAAAGTACTCGTCGTAGAGCCATTTGAAGATCGGGACGCAGTGCAAGGGTACTTGCTCTCGTACCCCTGAAGTAGAGTCGACCCTCGACTCTACTTTAAAGAGTCCTTTATCCAGGATCTCTTTCTTAGCTTTGGGGGGAACAGGCGGCATGCTGCGGCCGCCTGCAAGAAGGGGCGGATTCCTGTTCCACCTGTTGAGGCGCTTGTTCAGCTCCGTGTCTGAACTCTCAATGATGAAGAAGGTGCACCGCCAGTCCTTCCATTTGTTTGCTTTACCTCTCGTCATGAGGTAGCCCCTGTGGCTCGTCAATTGATACCAGCCGGTACCGCCTGCCTTAGGGGTCCGGCTGAGGTAGTTCATGTGGGCGAAAGCCTCGAAGCTCAGCTCCACCCCGTGCAGTTCGCACCCGGCCACATAGCCGAGTACGTTGACCCAGGAGTTCGGGGCTAACTGCCATAACCCCAACTCATACCCATCCAAGATCCGCTGAACAACCGGATGTAATGGGAAGCGCAGCCCAGCCTTGATGGCCGCCTCGTAGCAGCCAAAGCAGGCGCTATCATAACTGGTACCAGCTGGCCAGACGACTGTGTCTTCTGGATCCGGCACGAACACTAAAAAGCCGGGGCCCATTGTGTGGTTTGCGATAAAGCTCTCCACTTTCTCTTGCATGGCTGTGATCCGACCCCGAGGTACCGTGCAGTAGTATGGGGTATTTTGCTCTCGGTAAGAGGCGGATGGCTCCGCCCAATTGTCCCCCTTCTCCACTGCGTGAGAAAGCCTCGCCTCTTGCAGGCGACTGTTTTTCTCTTCTGTGTCCAGAGAAGCACGGCTAGAAGAGCTAGACTCGGAATCGTCCTCTGACGAGTCCGAAGAGGACGACTCCTCCCCTCTCCCGGAGGGGCCCGCCTCCTCTCCTTTAAAAGGAGCAGGAGAGAATGAAGAATTGTCAACTGAGAAATGGGAAGGGGTCACTTTGATTCCTCCCTCAGAACAGCCGGCTTTCAAGCCGCTTTGTTTCACTTCCACATCTGACGCCTGGTCAGATGTTTCACTAATCGGCACCCTGCGGGAGGAGCCGTCTGAATTTGAGATCCTGGCAGTCTTTTTTGTTCTGGCCATCATGCTCTGCATAGACACAGATACAGTCGGACTTTGTATAAAGGGCAAAGATGGGTCCGGAAAAGGGCAGGCGACACTCCTAGTCCTAGATTCAGCCGTCCCCGGTGACCGACTGATCACTAACCTAGGTCGTGTCGTGTGCTTCCGTGGTGCCATTTCAAAAAAGAATAAAATAAAGAGAAAATTTAGAGTAAGAGAACCGACGGTTACCTGAACGAGTGACGGTTGATGAAGTTCTGAAAATCCTTTGCAGTCGGCTTGTCAGAGCAGGCGGTAGGCAGAAAGAGTCCAAAATGTCAGAGCAAGTTCAGGGGTCCGAATGTTCTCTCACAAAGTTCTCAAGTGTGAATGACTGAAGTCAACACTCCCTTATATATAGGCGAAGTGGGAAGGCGAAGGGTCACTTCCAGAATTCAAAATTTAGGCGGGAGAATCTCTCGGCCTTTCGCCGAGTGACACCTGTAGTAGGCCGTCGCCTGTTACAGTGCGGCACCTGTCACAGGTAACACGTGACCAGTCACGTGCCACCTGTGAGGGGCAAATGATTAGGGGATTTTGCTCCCACCAATCGGAATGCGCCACGTGGGCCAATCAGGTCCTGCCAAGTGTCCCCCAGTTGGAACTGTCAGGGCTTGCCACGTGGCACGCGCTTATTCGTCCACCTTGGACCTATTATGTCATGACACGTGGCATACTCCATGCCTAATGGAGAAACCGGCCACCCAGGCCCAACTTCCGAGGGAAGCCCAATCAGCCCTAGGTTAACCTAAACCTAGGATTGACACGTTTCCCAAGGTTATAAATACCTCCCTTAATCCTCATTAAGGGGGGATTACAGAGATAACAGGCTGATCACGCTAACAAAGCAGATTACCTACATTAAACACTCTCACCTAGAGAGACCCAATCACTTTAATTTCCGCATTAATTACTCCTTAATCAAGTACTAACTTGACCGTTGGAGGCGGAGCTCCCACCACCAGGAGTCTCCGTTGTTTTGCAGGTACAGGCGTCCGGTTCCAGTCTCGGAATTGTAACTCTCCCGCAGGACATCAGAAAACCCCGAAACAGGTATGACTCGTAAATGACAATTCAATGCATGATAAAACAATGTAGGGAAAATTCAACAAATTAAATAAAATAAAGAAGACACATAAATTACTTAACATGACAATAAAACAAACTTCATACACTATTAAAACATGACAATAAAACCAACTTAACATGACAATAAAACAAACTTTAATACAAACTTAATACAACATTACAATATCAAATACATTATTAAAAGTAAACTTAACACACCATTAAAATACAATAACATTAATTAAACTTAAACATAAAATACAACCATACCCAAAGCTAAAACATTACACTTAAAATTAGAGTTAATTAACTTAAACCCCTCGACCATACACTTGTTGGATTAATTCTTCCTTGCACGCCTCTTCAGCAGGGGTCAGCAATGTAGTCTTTGCTAAGAGAGTTAGCAGCTGATCAAAATTCATCTTCCTCTCTTGTAATTCAACTTGCTTTTGTTTTCTCTTTTCTTTCTCCTTGTCAAATTCCAACCTCTACTGTTTCAATTCAGAATTGCCTCCCTTTCTCTAACTTAAGTACACGCCTACATTTGTTCACCAATGGTAAAAAATGCACTCTCGGAAACCACCGCTTTGCCCCTATGCTTAGCCTTTGCTTTTTTTTACATCGTTGGGTCGTGGTAGACCTCCTGACGAGAAACCGTCATTAGGGGCTTCATCCCCAACTTCAGCCCTAGACCTTTTACCACTTCCACTATTATCTTCCTCGTCATTAGCACCACAAGCCTTTCTTTCCTCATTTGACAAAGCCCATCTTAGCTTTGTCCTCCACTTTGGATCATCCTTAACAATTTCAACTTCGTGAGGAAAAGTAAAATTGTGACCAGTAGAGATATGAAACAACTTGGATGCATTTTTAATTTGGTCAACTTCGTTGTAACCACTTCCACTTTCCAGAAGTTTAGCCACTTCCTCATAGCAAGATTGCCACTGTAGTATATCTGCTGCCATTCTTCTCCAATGCGACTCCAAACTCTTCAAAGCTCTTGGCGAGAGTATATGCGGCTTCTCCTTTTGAGTGTTGTTATGTGCCTCATGTATTTTTCGCCAAAGCTCAGATGCTTTTTGGTTTGTGCTTGCAATCGCACATTCACTTATTTCTAAATACAATCCAATTAGAGCATCATCCTCTACAACTAACCAAATGCGACTTGCTTTAGCGGCTGGAAGGTTGGTCTGCATTCTTGGAGCCGTTGGAGGGTATTGAGGTGTCTCCAGGACATTTTCTTCTTGAGTATCAAAATATTGAGAGTTGCTTCCTTGATAAACTAGAGGTGTTTGTTGTTCATAGTAATTATTTTCAGGTTGATTTTCTACTGTGTTTGTTGTGGTGAAGGAATTTGTAAAGATGTGTTTCCTAATCTTTGTAGAAAAAGTTGAAATTGGGAAGTGGTAAGGAAGTCATCACCTAAATCAGCAAAGTGTTGAGAAATTTGAGAGAAATTAGGATTGTTGGGATCCATTAGATTGTACTAAAAGATAACAATTATTATAATTACTAAAGATAATTAGAACGTAAGAACAACAATTTTTATAACTAATAAATAGAAAAGATTAATTAAAAAAATAGACTTAACAAAAATACAATAACTTTGATATAAAATAGATAAAAATATCTTTAATAATAATTTAGATGATAAAAAGAAAATTAATTTTGTAGTAGAATTGGGAGATTATTAAATATAGAGGATTGTTATGATTTTTTGTAAGTATACTAAAATATATGGAAAATGGATGTCAATTTATAGAGGAAATTTTTTTATAACCGTTGGTAATTTTTTTATTTATTTAAATTTTAAGCATGAAAATCGGTTTAAAAAGAAATAGCCGTTGTAAAACAGTGCTGAATTATAATTGGCCCTCAGCGCTGACAAGGACATGTGTCAACGTCTCATTGGGCATGCTGATGCGCTTTGTCAGCGCATCAATTATAGATGAGTTTTGAGGTGTGGAGGCCCAAAACTCGGTGTTTTGGAGTGCAGGAAGCCAAAAAAAACATAAATGAGTAGCAAGTGGTGGTGGGGCTCACTTGCTACTGTTCATCTAGATTTTTCCTCATGTAAATGCCGCTGATTATTGTTTAGCTAATTATAAATAGTTAATAGTGTCCTTGGGGTGGTCCAAATTTACTCAATTCATTTAACCTCATCTGATGCACTATATGTCGGACATACCTCTCTTTGACTGGCCCTCATAGATTATAGTCAACGTTAAATGCACTGAATCTATATTCAATAAGTCCTTAATACAAGCCTATTAGAAGAGAGGCCAAATATAATTTTTGCGCCACTAAAATGCAAGTCAAAAGCATAAGAGTACTACACAAGTGTAGTAGTATACCGTATCATCAAGAATATCCATAGTGCATATAAAAAAAAAAAACAAACACACAATTACACAAGAATAAAAAAAAAATTAAAAAAAAAAACACATTGGCGGCAAACAATTGAAGATCAAACGGATAAAACAAAGCATCAAAAAAATATCCCAAAATATCAGAGCCGTACAAACGCACACGTGTAGAGGGCGCGCACAGGAGGGCAAAATCGTCCACCAAATATCTCTCTCTTTAACCAACCTTTTTTTTGCCGTCGTAAAAAATCTTCTTTCTCATTATACCCTAATTTTTTAAAATTAGGGTTTATCTCTCCCAATCTAGGGTTTACGACATTGAACTTCTGCTGCAATGGGAGTTCCAGCTTTTTATCGGTGGTTAGCGGAGAAATATCCGTTGATTGTTGTGGATGTAATCGAGGAAGAAGAAGTTGAAATCGATGGAATTAAGATTCCAGTTGATACCAGTAAACCTAATCCTAATCTTGAGTATGATAATCTTTATCTTGATATGAATGGAATCATTCATCCCTGCTTTCATCCTGAGGACCGGGTAATTGATTTTTTTTTTTTCTTTCTATTTTCTATTTTTTTTGCTTAATGTTATGTTATTTGGAGTTGATTAGTGTTATTTTTGTATGAAATTTTGATTTTTTTTTATTTAATTTTGGGTTTTTTTTTCTTTAAATTTATGATTGTTTAGTTCAGGAGAGCTGAATTTGTTGGTTTTAGCTGGGGTTAGATTGTATGATGGAAATTGTAAATTTAGGATTGCGGTAGTTTGCTATTGAAGTTGGTACGGATCGCTTAATTACTTGAAATGTGTGGTGCTTGTGATTTCTGGGAAATAGTTTGCGTGGGGCTAGGTTGCATGGTGCTGGAGATTTAAGGTTTTAACATTGAGGTAATTTGTTGTGGAGAGGATGGGGTGGTTTGTTTAATTGAAATGCGTAGCGCTTTTGATTTCCTGGAAGTAGTTTGGGTAGGTCTAGGTTGCATTGTGCTGGAGAGTAAAGGTTTTATAATTGGGGTGATTTGTTTTGGAGAGGATATGGGCGGTTTGTTTACTTGAAATGCGTGGCGCTTTTGATATCTGGGAAGTAGTTTGGGTAGGTCTAGGTTGCATTTTGCTGGAGAGTAAAGGTTTTATAATTGGGGTGATTGGCTTTGGAGAGGATATGGGTGGTTTGATTAATTGAAATATGGGGGCACTATTGATTTCGGGGAAGAAGTTTGGGTTGGGCTAGGTTGCACGGTGCTGGAGATTAAAGGTTTTATAATTGGGACAGTTTGCTACTGGGGTGGATTTGAATGGCTTGATTACGTGAAATGTAAGGTGCCCTTTGAAGATATAAGATATCAATACCTCCCATAGGAACAAGCAAAGTGTTCCAAGAAGGAACAAATGTTGTACTTTGGCATATGAGATGGCGGGTTTGGGATTCATGCTTTTGATTTCCGCGAAATAGTTTGCCTATGGAAATTCGTCTCTCCTTTGATTCAGGGGTAGGGTGTCATAAGTCCATATATTTGTTTTTTAAAATTAGATTTTATGCTTAGAGTGTGATCACTTGGGCTTGTAGCGATGCCAGATAGGTTAGAAAATGTTTTTCCCCCCCTTTATGGTGTCAGAATAATGGTGCATATGATATTTGAAGCGGTTAGGAGGTTTGCCTACTACTAGTATGATGTATGTATCAGCTTTGTAGTGACTAGATTATTCCTGGTAGAATGTAGGTACATGAGACAGTGAGATTGTGAGACAATAGGGGATAAGTTACACTATCGAGAGGGGAACAACCTGGATCACCAGAGTGTGAGTCAATAGGAGATAGGCATGATGAAGGAGTTAAGAGTATTGAGACCAAAAGGACAATTTTCTATCTCTGCCATCAAGTATGGCCATCATACTGGGGGTGGCTTATTGGCTAAGTCTCTTGAACTTAAATGATTTTTGAGATGATCACTAAGACATGATTGATTAGCAGGTTGCAATAGTCGATCAGTAAATCACCAGAAGTGGAGAAAGTGGAGGATTGATTATAAGCAGTTTGCAATTGTCAATCTCTTGAACTTAAATACTGGTACCTTGAGGTGCGAGGATTTTATTCACAATCATCAATTTATAGCCATTGCTACTTTGTCATTAGTAAACCACCAGAAGTAAGTGGATGATTAGCTTGTATGTTATAGAGAAAACGGCTATTTCACAAAATGCCACTTGGTACTTAAAAAATTCACCAAATGCCATCGCGTTTTTCAATATTCACCAAATGCCACTGAGGTTTAATATAATATCACCAAATGTCATTTCCGTTAGTTGACCGTCATTGTCAGTTAGTTGACCGTTAGTTGACCCCACCACTTGCCACGTGTCACCTTCTGACTAGTCCGTTTTTTTTAAAAAAAAATAATTATACACTAATTAAAAAAAAACCAAAAAAATTAAAAAAAATAATTAAAAAAAACCCCAGCCACCACTCTAGCAGCCACCACCCAGCCATCCCTTGCCGTCGAAGCCAGCACCGGAAGACGCGTCGGCGGCCGGCGGACCCCCACCCCCACCCCTTCCCCTCCCCTTTCCCCGTCGCGCCACCCACCCTAGCCCAAACCCCTAACCCGCGAAACCCCACCCCCTTCCTCCACCACCCCGAAACCCTATCCCCCCTCCTCTCCCTTTTCGATTTCCGGCCACCCCACCCAAAACACCCTTCCCCTCCCCTTTTCGTTTTCGGCCACCCACCCACACAACCTGAAACCCCTTTTCGATTCGTGGGTGCTCGTTTTTTGGCTCGAATTCTGCTGGTTTTCTTTGCAATTTGTGTGTAATTTCTTCTTCTCATTGCAATGTAAATATTGTATAATACTTGCTTCATTGTCGAATTTCATGCAAATTTGTGAAAAATTCGAAAACCCCCTTTGAAAAATCGATTTGGGGCTTTCTCGTGCGATGCTTGTTTGATGAAATTGTTTGTCTCATGTTATTGCATTCTTGATTGTGAGCATTTTGATAGTAATTTTGTAGAAAATGGTGAAGAAATGAGCATGTTGTGTTCTTGCCTTCGAGCTTGAACGTTGGTTTTAATGATGGTGGAAAGATGACGGAGAGGGAATGAGGAAGGGGTGGGGCCGCCGGCACGCTTGCCGGTGCAGGTCTTCGGCGGCAGGGAGGGGCTTAGGGTGGGGTGGGCGGCTTGCTGGTGAGGGTGGTAGGATGGGTGGTGGGTAGGGATTTGGTGGTTTTTTTTTTTATTATTTTTTTTTAAATATTTTTGGTTTTTTTTTAAAATTTTTGTTTAAATATTTATTTTTTAAAAAACGGACCAATCAGAAGGTGACACGTGGTAAGTGGTGGTGGGTCAACTAACGGACACCAACGGTCAACTAAAAGAAATGGCATTTGGTGAATTCTGAAAAACGTGATGACATTTGGTGAATTTTTTAAGTACTCAGTGGCATTTTGTGAAATAGCCGTGGAAAAAAAATGGAATTTTCTTATACTTTTGGTATTTGTATTTTGCCTCTTTCTTCTTGATAATTTTTTGATCAAGTGGGAGGAGGTGCCATTTTTTCAAATGGTTTGGTATGACTGCATCATAGTCATTAGGTTTGTTTTCTCGTTATATTTAATTATTAGAAGTAGAAGCTTGCTTTTGATGTAAAAGAGGTAAAGCAAAATTTGATGGAATTCAAAGTTAAAACATTGCACAATGAATCTAATTAAGTATCAGGAAAAGGCCAGAAGTTTCTTTATATTCCTGTGTTCTTGTTGCTAGCCTTTTGCCGCCATTTATAAACCTCTTTGTGAGTGAAATTTTTAATTTTCTTGTTGAATATTATATTTATCG